CTTATGAACGCATCTTGATAGCATTGCGGTTGATTGCTCAGAACACACAAGTTTGATAGCCAATTGCACAGGGTAAAAATAACTTTCTGTTTACGTAATATTTTTTATTTAAATAAAATCACTTTGACGGTTTAAAACGAGATATATATTAGGTAAACTTTAGGTTTTAAGCGTTTTAAACCGTTACAGTATTTTGTTAAATGTGCACACGCGTAAACTACCTACAGACTGTATATATTATTTCTATCTTCGACTTCAACTTTTATTTTATTAACTCTTTCTAATTTCGTCAAATATGGTTTTTAGTGTGGAGGTTTTACATATTATGTATACATATATATAAAGCGGCGGCAGGACGTTTGTATGTTTGAACGCGCTAATGTCAAGAACCACTGGTTTACAGTAGTATAGTCCATTAAGTGATAAAGAAAACACGATTTCCTTATAATATTTACTTATTCATTTACATAAGAAATGTAAATATATATTAACTAAGTGTATCCGCAACTATTAGCGCGTAAAATAGTTATTTTCGGCATCCAAATTTGTTTTTTAAAAGTTTAAAGTATAAATCCCACTCTGTTTTGAAAAGGTAACAAGTTAAATAAGTATTTAAGAGAATTGAGTTATTATATCGGTCTAAATACGGCAAGATAAGTATCGAGCTTAGGATTTGGGCTTCAGAAGTTCTTGCGAAATAGCGAGGCCACTGTGAAATGTTTAAATTACGTTTCTTCGTGGAGCCTTATAATATGTTAGCTTACAACCGCGACTTCGTTTGCTTGGATACGTAATTTTTACAACTAGACCCCGGGACTGAAAATTCGCGGTGCGCGTCTAGCGACAGCACGCTATACTAATACATATATAAAGTTTAGTTTGTTTGTTTATTTGAACGCGCTAATCTCAGGAACTACCAGTTTGAATTGAAAAATTATTTTGTGTTAGTTTGAGCGTTGATTGAGGAAGGCTACATGCTATAAACATTAATTTGCGACTAATAAGAGCAAGGAAAACTCAGGAAATATGGAATAAACGGGGAAAATTATTTATCCTTGTGGATTTTCGTTGGGTACGCTGCGAAAACAGTTCAATATATCCAATAAATATGTATTAAAGAATTATTTATATAATGATCTAAAAAATGTTTCCGACATTATATGACTTTCTTTTAAGAACAACTTGCAAGAACGAAGGGACGCAGTCGGCGTCGTGGGAGCTTAGATTTATAGAATTGAGCATGAGGTTTGCAAAAACAATATTTAATGCCCAAAATACTATTTCTAATCTACGCTGACGAAATCGCTGACACAGCACACTCGGTTTTTGACAGATTGTTCTCGAACCACTAGTTGCTGAGACCAGCGCGTTTCAACAAACAAACGAACTGTTTATCTTTATAATATTAGTATAGATTAGATATGATTCAACCTAAGTAGCTACTGTGGGCTGTCTGGCGCCAGTTGGGGGCGAAGGCTTTGATACATCAGATAGTGATTTCGTCAAATATGGTTTTTAGGGTGGAGGTTTTACATATGTATACTAATATATAAAGCTGAACGTTTGTTTGTTTGAACGCGCTAATCTCAGGAACTACTTGCTCAAATTGAAAAAAATATTTTTGAGCTGGTTAGAGCACTTATTGAGGTATGGTATAACCTATAAAGTATCGTCTTGTGACTAATAGGAGCGGGTAATATGAAAAGCTGGGAAAATTATTAATATTTTTGGGTTTCCGATGCGTACGCTGCGAAAACAGTTCAAGATACCACAAAAATATGTATGTAAGAATGATTTCTCTTTAAACGGTCTAAAAAAACGTCCACAATATCCGTCTTAAAGACGTACCTTTTAAGATTCTCTTGCAAAAACGACGGGAGGCGACTGACGTCATAGGAAACCGCTTAAATTTATTTTTACAAAGATTGCCCAAAATAACTATTCTACGCGGACTAGGTCGCTGACAGAGCTAGTCGTTTCTAAGTAGTATAGTCCATTAAGTGATAAAGAAAACACAATTTAAAAAACTTGCACGTCTTAATTTGCAATTCATAATTAATTTCTTATAATATGTATTTGCTTATTCATTAACATAAGAAAAATGAATCACTAACAAACAATTACTCACATATAGTACTATTACACTTCTTTATATATATATATATATATATATTTTTTTTATACATATAGTAGTTACTTGAAAACTTATTTGAAAATGTCACGGGAAGACTCTGACCACGGCTGCTGCAAAGCATCCGAAACGTCGGGCCGAAGTTAAAAACCATTTTCAAATAAGTTTAACTAATATATCGCGTTTTAAACCGTTAAAGTGTTTTATTTTAAATCTAAATTTTATGTTATTTATTTATTACAGCTTTATAATTCACAATACATACCACACGAACTACAAGAAATACTTACGTACAAACTTATTATATATAAAATACGACCTTATCGCTAAGCAGCGATCTCTTCCAGGCAACTTGAAGTACAGGAGAAAAGAAATACAAAAAAGGCTTATTTTTATATTGTATGACATAATATTTTTAATACGAATTCTCTATAGCACGGTTAAAGCAACGCAATATAATACGCAGTTTCCACACAGATCGTTTTGCAGTACACGTTTAAAACAATTATTGATATGAGAATTCGATATACATATTCGGTAACACGGTACGGTCTGATTGTTATGGACACAATCTTTGTTATGTTATAAATGATCTGGTGTCAAATTTGCACACAATTATCGTCGTAAGTACGCACCGTTTTTTAAACATCACAAAAAAGTTTCGGGTGCAATAAAATACATAACGATCGTTCAAGAAATTATAGATTTGGAAAAATTAAATAGTACCTATTTCCATACTAAATAGGTACTATTTAATTTTTCCAAATTTTTCTTTAATATAGGTTTGTAGTATACATTTAAATAAAACACTCTTTACTAGAAATGGGCCGAGTACTCGGTTGATAGTCGTACTCGGCCGAATAACTCGGTTATTTGCTACCGAGTATACGTTATTTACGAAAAGCTATTGTTAATTCATTACTAAAACTTGTCAAAGGTACTCAAAACGTCTCCTCGCTCACATCGACCGAACAGCCCGAAAGACGATGATATGCTGAACGATGGCCGTGAAAGCCTTATACATTTAATTTATAAGTTAATTAGGAAATCTCAATTAATAAAATCAAAATTATGCTAATGAAAGAGAATTATTTATTCTACACTGCAATGAGCTATGGACAGCCCTTTGTTGCTGCAAAGTATCTGAAACGTCGATTCAGAGTTGAAGCAAATTTATATAATATATTTCCAGTTTTAAACCGTTAAAAGTGGTTATTTGAAAAGTTGTTTTAGTGTCTGTTTTTGGCAACCCTATCCGCGATCCGAAATGATCTTGCAAGGTCGAGTGTTGTAATATTTATATTTCACCTAGTTTTCTGTTCGGGTGTGCATTCATTAGTTAATTTGTTTAATTGATACCTATTGCATTAGCGCTTTCAGTAAATTCCGACTACTTTAATAGAATTGATTATTCTTGATTGACTCGTCCATTTGAGCTTCTTTAATCTATGCCATTCCGCCATTACCAATATTTTGTTGTATCTCGCGGGTGTTCAATAAAACAAATTTAAGCAGGTTGGTTGGTTTAAAAACTATTTTGCGTGTTTTTTATTTAATTTATAGAAATAAAATTAGAAATCATTGTGGAACAGATACTGTGGTAAAGGGCTCGCTTGAAACGTTAGTAAGATTGTGTTTGTATGTATGTTTGTAGTTTAGTATTAGTACCATCGTGTGCAAATGCATGTGAAAAAAATAAAAGTTGTTATTGTAACTGTGTTACAACTGTACCTAAAAAAACCAAACAGTTGTAACACAGTTACATTTACAATACCTAAAAATGTTAGGTATTTTTAGGTACAGTTGGTATTTACAAATGGAGGCGCTAGTTTTTGTTATGAAATTTGACCTCATTAGCTAGAGGTCTTCGGTCAGCCGGTGTCACTTACAAGCTGCATAAGACTAGTTGAGTAATATCGCGTTTCTATGGTGTATCGGTCGGATCGACACTTTAACTTTATACTACTAATTTATAAAGTTGACGAGTCTGTTTGTTTGTTTGAACGCGCTAATTTCAGGAACTGCGGGTTCGAATTAAAAAAATCTTTTTGTGTTTGGTTAGAACATTTATCGAGGAAGGCTAAAGGCAAATAAACATCGCCAAGTAACTAAAACAAGCGAAGATACAACGCGAAATGTAAAAAAAATGGGAAAATGATCCATAATTATGGGTTTCCGACGCGTACGCTGCAAAAACGGTTAATGATATCCAAAAAATGTGTATGAAACTAATTTAGATGCCCAAAATAAAAAAAAACAAAGCTATTATTAATGTATAAAGCTGAAGAGTTTGTTTGTTTGAACGCGCTAATCTCAGGAACTCCTGGTTTGAATTGAAAAATTTTGTGTTAAGGCATTTATCTAGGAAGTCACAAGGGCTATAAAACATCGCGATGTGACTAATAGGAGTGAAGAAACAGCGAGATGTCAGCCAGACGAAATCCAACATGTTTCAGAAAAATTATACATTGATTAGAAAATGTTGGACCCGGTGGGGATCGGACCCTTTGATTATTAGCCATGCATTGTTACCATTAGACCATTAAACTGTCAGATTTTTTTAAAATCTTAACTGCATTGGTATTGAGAAGTAGACATATTTAGCTATCTACATGAATGTAGATTTTTTAAGCATATAGCAGCTGTGCCAATTGCACAATAATATCATAAGGATTATCGAAAATGATTTACAAAAAAGTGTAAATCACCAGATAATATTGGCATGCGTGGAACGCGGTCAGTCGGTTTCAATGTCGCGTGACGATTGTATAACGTCCCGTAACGAGAGGAAAGTACCTACGGGCTGTTGCGTAAGCGCAGGTCAGCTTTGTGTTTGACATGCAATTAAAAAACCTAGCGACGAGTATTTATGGCCAGAGATGGGAAGAAGATTTGGCTCGAAGTTGTGGGTTTTCAGCTCGTGGTGGTGGTAATAACGGGCCATGGGTTCGAATTTCACGGTATACATTTTCTGATCAAAGCATCATCAGTGGGAATCTGGTTGTTTTCAGGCATCCGTTAGTAACTTATCAGACTGTTATAAATGTTTGTAATCAGATTATTGATAGGCTCGTTGGTGTAATGGTAGCATTGTAAGGCTTATAACCAACCGGTCGTGGATTTGATCCCCGCCGGGTCCAACACGTTTTTAATAAACATCATGTTTTGAATACGACAAGTCTAATCGAAAATAAATTGAAAAAAATTTCGACTCGGGCAGGACTTGAACCGGCATCGTCAACGTTCCGTGCTGTTGCTCTACCAATTGAGCTACCGAGTCCTACACCTCATCGTCGATTTTTTTCAACTTATTGATACATGCACCTCTCGCGCAATGTAATTTCAACCTTAACACTTGCGTATTAAGGTTCAACGTCTTATGCTTTGCAGCTTAAGGAATCATTGAAGATGAAATTACAAAGTTATAACGTTTTGAAAACTTTATTATTTTTTACATGAAGGCACTATATAATTTAAAAATCGAAAATAAATTGAACAAAATTTCGACTCGGGCAGGATTTGAATCCTGCGTCCACAGCGTTCCGTGCTGTTGCCCTAAAAAATTGAGCTACCGAGTCCATATAACATGTAAAAATATTAAATGTTTTCAAAAGTCTGTGGATTTCCGAATATCCAGAGTCAAAATAGGTTGACGCATCTTGTTAAGATGTTATATGGCTGGGGTATCAGCTACCATCAACTGAGTCTCTCCTCCACTATCATAAAAATGAACTATTGAGCTATATACACGATGTAGCTATATGAGGTAGATAGTAATAGAGATCCGTAAATATAATTTATTAGCTCGTAAATTAGCATGATTCCGTAGTGAAAACTTTCATTATACTCGTCGAGCGTGACGCGAGATTGTTTATAAGCGTTACGTAACGGACATCGAGACATGCAAATGATTACGATTAAATTATGCGTAGATATAATGAATTAAAGGATTTTTAGTCTGTATTTAGTTATTGAAAAAAAATATATACTGTTTGTAGTTTACCCGAGTAGTACACATTTAAATTAAACACTTTAACGGTTTAAAACGCGATATATGTAAGATTCCCCGTGACCACAGCTGCTGTAAAGTATACGAAACGTCGGGTCGTTATAATAATTTACAAATAAATGTAGCTAATATATATCGCGTTTTAAACCGTTAAAGTGTTTTATTTAAAATTAAAAATATTTTACTATGATGCGTTGTCGACTTCATAGACTTTCCAGATTTTTGAAATGATGGGTGTAATTAATTAAAAGTAAAAAAAATCCAAACATACTCATTCCATAATTCACACCAATAGTTTGAAAAGCCAGCCACACATGCTGATCACCTTAGGTAAATCTATGCATAGACATTAACTACTTAATATAATCTGTTCGTATGATTTTTTCTTTTAAATTCAAAGATGAAAACTAACAAAATAATGTATCGCCTTTTTGCTTTATTTTTGTTACAATATTCTAATGACATAAATTACTCAATTATTACTAAATAAGTTAAATAAACAGACATGTCTTATGTTTTCTACAATATTGGTTGTTCATTTGACAGTACCTATATCAAACAATCAATGTATGTTTTTTTAGAGATAACAAATTCGTTTTTTGTTATCTTGAAATCACGCTATAACGTATATACTCAAGCTATGTTTTTGCAGAGGTCATTATACGCATGTTAGTTTTCCTGTTAGTTTGTCACCTGTGCCTATTGCAAAAAATCTTACGTCAAATGTTTTATTACAACACACACCGTTATTCTTAGGCACGAGAAAGGACAGAAAAGCATGGTATTCATTTGATAGAAGAAGTGCTACAGCCCTATAACATGTTATGATGTGCTGTCGTCTTATTTTGGTTTTGGACCGTTAAAAATCAAAAAATGGACTTAACGACTTCTTCGATTCGAATGATCTAGAAAGACGTTGAACCCATTCTGTACCGAACCCACGACCCGTTATATACCAAAGAGCCTTTAGGAATTATGTTTAACGTATTTTAAAGCCATATTGCCGATGCAGATTTCATGACGAATGCTATACTTAAGTTTTCCGCCAAAATATTTTTGTTGTAAGACGCAAACGTAAGTCATTGATTTGATGATACCCAGCCAAGCACCGTTCAAGGTCTCAGAACGACTTATATTGTAGGTAAACAAAGATAAAATTTGGGTCAATGCATACATTAATTAAATACTTTTATTAATCATTGAAAATATTTATTCCACGACCATGGTATTCATAGGTTGAGCTAAAATTATATATCGTTTTCTTAGTATGAAACAACACAGAGTTTAAAACGTTAAATTTTAGTTTATCTGTGGTGTAAATAATCTTAAAGACATCGGATCGGTTTGAAAGAAATTAAGTAACATATTTCGCCTATTAAACTGTACTTGGTGTTTGTTTATTTTTTGGTCTGTGTTTTTAATAAACTTAGTTTTTTAACTGATCCGTAAATTAGATTCTTCCCATATATTGATTCTCTATTTTTTTATTTTTTTTTAATATACTTATACAAAAATATATAAAAAAGATTAATGTTTTAAACCGTTAAAGTGTTTCATTTAAATGAGCATAGACATGTTGCTATGCCAGATTTAGCACTTTGACCATCTTGCAAGCGTCAGTAGGTGGATAGGTCATAGATTAAAAAATTACGTAAGAGCAACAATCAGCTGACTGAGAAAACAAATGTTACATTCTTCAGATATTTGGCCTCGAGCAAAACTTGACCTATGTGTTAGTTCCTTCTTGTCTACCCAAATAGGTATCACTAGAAATACCGCCTGTGGACACTTTTAAATAAAACACGTTAACGGTTTAAAATGCGAATTATATGTAAAATTGTTTACAAATTATTTTAGCAACGGCCCGATGTTTCGGATGCTTAGCAACATGGTCACGGCAAGACTAAAGATGGAGGGTGACTCTAATGTCAAAGTAAAAACCGCTACACTAGCGCCATCTGTTCCGTCACTGTGTGGTTTGAAAACGTCGGGCCATAGTTAAAATAATTCGTAAACGTGTTTAACTACTATGTTTGGCATTTTAAACCGTTAAAAGTGTTTTATTTAAAGTACTACCAATGTATAAGCGTATAAATTAAGTGTCACACATACACCTAATCTTTTTTTAATTAATAAATATATACTACGTTATATATAATAAAAGTTTTCTATGGGAAAGATAATTAAAATTTCTTACAACCATTAAGAGAATTTTTGTATTTATCGTCAAAATAACTTTAATAAACATTTAAACCGCATCGTGGGTGTATATGTTTTTTTTAAATCCAAGTCCAACATTAGGTCAAGGCAACTTGTATCACCGATCTGTCAGATTTTAATAAGTGCTGCCATCTATTACTGTTTTAGCTTCAATAAAAGAATTCATTTCGATATCGATCGATTTCATTTTGAATCACGACTTTGTTTTGTTTGTAAGTGTTTTAATCAAGTCTTAAAACATTTACAGCGCACTTACGCACACTACTTGATAGCAGTTTGCGAGGTCCAGGGTTCATATATCGGTTCGGGCAAGTTAATTGCATTTCTTAAGATTTTCAAAAGAAAACTTTTTAACGTGTTATTGCAAATAATGACAGGATATAAATAAAAAATCGATTTAAGAAAAACATTATGACACGGGCAGCAGTTCAACTGGCATCCACAGCGTTCTGTTTCTCTAACGAATTAAGGAACAAATTAAAATTCTTAAAAGACTTTAACACTCGAACTGTACAAGTAGATGTAACACAGTATTGTGTGTGCGTTAAACTACCGCTTCCGATGATAATAAAGTAAATAAAGCCAATCGTTGCTCAAAGCTCTGAAACCCCTCTTCCCCATGTAAATGGACTCTGTGTCCAAGGTGGTCCGACTCCAAGGGTTTACTGAAAGAAAGGTGAAACACCCCCGCCATATAACATTTTGACAGACTGTAGACCTATTTTGACTTCGGATATTTGAAATTTAACAGACTGACACCATAAAGCGGTTCTTCGCGGTTTTTTATCTGTGGACGATGGTTCAAGACGCGGACGGAATTTCGATATCCCTACCGACAATTTAATATTAAAATTTTCAGTCTTCACGTGGGAATCGAACCGACGACCCGACGATTAGACCAACGAGACAAAATATTAGCTATGAATGAACAGATAGTATGCGCGAGTGTTTCAAATGAATGTAGTCACCGTAATAATTATGTAGCGTTACGCTACAGACAATAACGTTATAAAACAACTGTTATATTACGTAACCCAATTCGAGACGAAACTGGGACACTGTCACATGCTTAGTTGAACTCATATTAGAGATATCATTTTGCGGTTAGAAGATAAATTACAGATAGATAACAATTGGTACTGTTAGTTATTAAATAAATAAATAAACAATCCGTTTATTAAACCAACTACTTGTACATAACTTGCAATTCAAATTAATAATAATAATTAACAATGAAATATTATAAACTGAAACATCTCGGATTTTGTCTGGAAATCTGAACATTGAATGAATGGGTGGTAGGTCGACAGTTTTTTATTTACGTTTGTTGAGTGGTGGTGGTGGTGGATTCTTTAACTATCTAGCATTCGAGTCCTAGACTAAGAATACTTGGTAATTAAAATAAAATACTTTAACGGTTTTAAAAGCGATATATTAAATAAAACACTTTAACGGTTTAAAACGCGATATATTAGTTAAACTTATTTGAAAATAATTTTTAACTTCGGCCCGACGTTTCGACTAAACCGTTAAAGTGTTTTATTTAAATGTGTACTACTCGCGTAAACTATAGACAGTACTTCGTAATTGTTTACATTCCTAACGTAACTAGATATGTGGAGCCGTGTAGAATTATATTTTTAACTTGCCTGCGAGTTCGTCCCCGTGAGTCGTAGTTATTTTGGTCATCATATTATTTTATACATTTTAGGGTGTTATTCATCATATTATTTTATATATTTTAGGGTTCGCGTCCCTTTGACCGCGTCCGTGGGGCTTGCGAGTTAATCCTAATAATAAAGACATATAGGCAGTTATATTTAAATAAGAAGAACTCTTTCATAATTTCTTTCATTCTTTTTTGGGTATCTTTAACCGTTTTCGCAGCGCACGTAACGGAAGCCCAAAGATGGAAAAATATTCCCGATTTTAACACATTTTCGTCTGTTTCTTTGTGCGTATTGGACGGAGCGAGTTGTTCTATAGCCTAAAGCGGTCCTCGATAAATGCGATAACACATAAAAAATATTATAATATTAGTATAGATCTCATGGCAGTGTTACTTTTACTCGCTCACATTAAAGCTTTCTACAGGAAAAGTTGTTATAAGCAATAAAAGATGATTAAAACTGCGATTACTACGCTATGATAAGGATTCTTGTACATACTGTTTGAAGTAGAGTTAAAAGTTTTTAATGATTATGCCGTATCTTAGCCCGGGGCAGTCAATACTAAACGGACGCTTTGGCGATAGTGCTCGCCGTGACCATATACTATAGTATTTTAAAGGTAGTTTGAATAATTTCATAGGCGGGGCCACTAAAAGTAGTTGCTTATACTGAGGCGAATATATCGACGTGGGAATACGTATTTGCTGTAAGCCGCAAAATAAGAAATGTTCACCAGAGCCAAAAATCTTTTTTTCATCTTTTCTAGCAGCCGTCCATCTCTTTAAGCTTCCATCCAGATTCCGATGGTCAAATCCCCCCAGTGGGGCACTTTTGGTCTTACCCCAACGTTCAACTGAATAGCATCTATAATTAGTCGTTCGTAATTAAAGGTTTCTGCCATTTAAATAAAACACTTTAACGGTTTAAAACGCGATATATTAGTTAAACTTATTTGAAAATAATTTTTAACTTCGGCCCTACGTTTCGTTTTAATATATCGCGTTTTAAACCGTTAAAGTGTTTTATTTAAATGTGTACTACTCGTATAAACTACAGTATTTCTGCCATTGATCAACAGTTTATTGTCCGTAGTTATGAGGCAATAAGTTAAGAATACCATTCATATAAGCTTATTCAAAGAGTTGCATAATCAAGGAAATAATAATTACATGCTTTAGGCATTATGTAGGTACTTGGATGAGTGGTCGGTTAGGGTACTGAAAACTTACAGTTACTAAGGCCGATAGATCGAAGAGCCAGGTAACTCTTGCACAGTAGTTAGTCATATAAATGTAAGTACTAGCTGAGTCAGCGACTTCGTCTACGTAGAATCTTGAAAAGATCCTCAAAAGATATCCTGTCGCGGAATTTTTTTACATCGTATCTAAAACCGTTCTAACAACACACGCCACGGAAACTTTTACAGATGAATAAATTTCCCCGTTTTTTCCACTATATCTTCACTCCTGTTGGTCGCATCGTAATATAGCCTTATAACTCTAAAGCCTTTCCCAATAAATATTCTAATCAACACAAATCATTTTTCAATTCTAAGCAGTAGTTCCTGAGATAAGCGCGTTAAAACAAATTGACGAACACTTCAGCAATATAATATAAAAATAATACAAGACTATTTTGTTTTTTCTTTTATTAATCCCCACTACAATTCAAGTGGCCTATACAAAATCCTACCTATAAGACTACGGAACCCTTAAAGCGAAATTCCGACTCACTCTTAGCTGTATTCTCAAAGGGCATTCTGATTTGCGGCCTTGTATATTCTATAGCGTATCCCAAAGCAATAGTAATTAAATAGCCCTATATACAATGAACATTTTTTATAAAGGTCATAATATGAATAACGTCTATTCATGGTCGAAAAACATAATTCCAATATTGTGTCTAAACGGACCAATCAAGAAGAAATAATATACATATTTATTAATGGTCTTGTCTGTTGTCTGCCCTTTAACAGGTCACACGGCTGGGACACAGGCGTCCTTAAGGGGTATATAGGCTTCCATTTATGCTCGTCAAATGTATCGTCAAGTTTTCCTTCATTAAGATATTATATTAAAATGCATTTATATATAATTATAGATAAATATTAACATATTTTTTTTATTTTTTTTATAAATAGTCTTATGAAGACTTAATTTACGGAACTTTATTTAGCAACAAAAGTTAATGTTTCACTTTGTTTAATTAACAAGTTTCAAGGAATTAATTTTTGTGCACTGAAAACTACAGAAAAAAAAATGTTGATGTTATCATCGTGTTTGTGTGGAGCCCTTTAATTTGATACCCATATTAAGGGGGTTAAGGAAAAATATGTAATCGATAATATTACTGATTTTATTATATTGTATTGTCTTCTAAACTAAATGTGTGTACCAAATTTCAAAACAATCTGACTAAAGGAAGGTGCTTAAATTTCAATGTTTAATTTTGTCCCAAATAAATATACTCCGTACGGGTCGAGTTAATTAAAGCCGTTTGAAAATAAGGATTTAGTAGTAAGAATGAAGTGTCGAAAATTTAGTATTTGTAACAGTATATTACTATATACTGTTACAAATCTTATTTACTAATAAGATATATTTAGTAAGATTGGCTACCTATAATGGTTTTCACTAATCAGAATAATAATTTTTCAGTATTACAAAATTTACAATTTATTTTATTTTATTTTTAATTTTTGTTACAGGGTGGAGGGCGAGGCGAGTGCGGTGCGGGGGGGTGCGCGTGTGGGCGGCGCGTTCCCGATCCCGCTGCGCACGCGCCGCATCCGCTGCGAGCGCTCGATGATATGCCGCCCGTACTAAGGTGAATACATACTCACATAAAGTGAAATTCCGCTTCCTCTCGTGGTGCATAGGGCGAACACATTTCTGTGTCCGTTTCATAATGCATACTAAGTTTTTAGAAGTAAAAGCGCTCGTCCTGAGTTCCGGGAAATATTCGGTAATATAGATACCAGGCACAGCAGCCGATATGTACATTGGCTTGTAAAAAAACAGTATTGCTTGCTTGCATTTGCGATATAGGAATGCATTTTAAATAGTTTAAAACCAAAATAGGTCGACACTGAAACCCAATTAAACTCCAAGGCTTTACCCCTGTGAGGAATTTGTGATCCGGACAGAATTTCGATATTCCTACCACTTATTTAATATCCAGAATTGATTAAAAAAGTTTGGACTCGATGGGGATCGAATCCACGACTCGTTGATTGTTACCTGCTACCAAGCTATCTAGACCATCGATCCAATCAGTCGGTCAGTCAGAGAATTAAATTGTGAGGGTACTCTTAGATTTTTGTGAAACAGTAACGCGTTATAAGTTTGAGCATTTCGTTGACTGACAAATGCTGTAGCGTGACACGACCCGGCTTGCTATTGTGTGTAGATGACCTTTTGATGAACACGCGATTTAGACAATTGCAAACTTACTAGTCACACCCTATAATGGCGTACATTGTGACACAGATAACTGTGACCCTTTTCATCTTCACGCGTTGAAGAATACTTTCGTGTCGACACTTCGCATAGATGTCTTCGTCGAAATAATGTTTATATCAAACACGAACAATTTTTTATGGGTCTGTATTCTAATCGTCTGTTGTTTACTCGTGTGGTACACATTTAAAAACATTTTTAACGGTTTAGAAGGCGAAATGGATTCGTAAACTTATTAACAATTTATTTTTACCACAGCTCGACGTTTCAGATGCTTTGCAATAGCTAACGTCGTAAATGTCTCTCGCTTCAAACTACAAACTTACGTCAGATGCCTTATAACAGCCGTGGTCAGGGGAGACTTCCCATTTACCGATAAATAATGTTTTTTTATAGATAATAATATTATATGAACACATTTCCGTGAGTAGTACACATTTAAATAAAACACTTTGTGAGCCGTGACCACGGCTGCTGCAAAGCATCCGAAACGTCGGGCCGAAGTTAAAAATCATTTTCAAATAAGTTTAACTAATATATCGCGTTTTAAACCGTTAAAGTGTTTTATTTAAACATTTCTGTGTTTGTTTCAAGTATAAACTTGACTTGCCTGTAAACTAAATCGATCAGGTCATTATGCCCTGCCCGATCGCAGTCTTTTCTTTCGCCGGAATTAACACCCTGGATTTCTCGAGGTTTTATACCACTAGCTGCGTCAGCGACTTCGTCCATGTGGAATAGTTATTTTGGGCATCCAAATTTGTTCTTTGTAAACCTATTCTTCATCTTTTAAAATCTAAGCTGTTACCCACGACAGTGGAGGCGTACCGTCGTTTTAGCAAGATAATATTAAAAGATAGACATATAATGTCTCGAATATTTTTTTAGATTATTTAGAGAGGAATAATTCTTTTATCCATATTTTGCATAGATGCATAAATGTCCCTGTTTAATAATAAGGCTGAAAAAAATATTCACATTTTTTCGTAAAAATCTTTTTACTTTTTGACCCCTTTTTTCTGTATAGCACGAGCGGGTAGTTGTCAATAATAATAAATAGTATGAAGTAATTGGTATCCTCGTAATGGTAACAGTGATGGTAAAAGACCGATGGTGTATTTATAATAAATTGCCACGAACGGTAAACTACGAACATGATTTTCTTCGACGGTACATTGAGTCTCTTGTAACAAATGACTTGTGGTCGGCAGAATTCTGCGGTGAATCAACTAAATGCCTTCCCTCACTCATATGGAAGACTCAACACTGCGTTCATTACTCATGGCTTACTGCTTTCTTTATTTTTCTAAACTTAAAGACTAAATACAAAGGATATCTATTTTATGATAGAGGAGCAAGCAAACATGGGGTACACTAGATGGTTGGTGAAATACCTCAACGGAAGATGCGATGTCGACCTTTGGATTCTCGGAATTCTACCGACTAAAACCGAAAGGCGATTAACATGACGGCTTTTTCATCTGACCGGTGGTTCGTGACCCGGGCGGAATGTCGATATTCCTAACACCCAAGATTTCTAGCATGTTATAGAAAAGATATAAATTGATTAGAAAAATTATGGGGACCCCGTGGGGATCGTAGCCACGACCATTAATAGATATACAGTACAGCACAACAAGTCCGTCAAATATTTATTTCCTTCTATTACAGAAAAAAAATCCAATTCGACGCCGTTTGTAGCTAAATTATTAAGCAGTATAATAAAACTATATACAATATAAAATAAATGATAACTTTAATAATAACTACTATTAACAACGTACGTTTAGTAGATTATTTGCTATTTCACTCCAGTATCCCGTAAATACCACCCGTCTCCCGTGTACAATGTTATTGATTAACTGTTTCATACGTAAAAAATAATGTTACCGCTAAACTACTTATTAAGCTTAGTGGTACTGTTCTTTCAGATCAAATCCTTTGTACACAGAGGAAGAGGAGCAAGAGGTAGTGATAATAGTGGATTCTCTGGAGGTAGATGTCGAAGAAGAAGCGCCAGCTGAAAACCGCTCGCCGCGTCGAGCACCTTCCAACTCTTCAGGTAGAAAATGTTAGGATCGTAACGTTTTATTTCTTACTATTTTAACATTACCTTTTGACATTAATATTAATTTTATAGGCTCAGAAGATTTGAAGTAAAGACTCATTACGATTGTTGCTGTAGAATTATCTAATGCCTTTTTATGAGTTTAGGCAAGAATAAAAAAGAAGACCCAAATTACATGTTTTAGCTTATTGTTGTAATCATTCTTGATAAAGGTTACGGCAGTGGAGGGGGCAGTCACGGCCGGGTCTCACCAAGTTTACCAAAGAACGACAAGTATGACGCGGAGCCGGCAAGATTGTCGGACTCCGATAAGAATGGATCTCAAAGCACTTCTGACTCAGATGGGTCTCCGCCCTGTACTCTTTCTAGAAGTTTGAAGGAAGATATTCGGTCTTGTTTAGGAGATTGCAGGTACATAACCCTTTTAATCATTTACCGAGCAATAATGACGGAAGCAAGTCTTCTATATTAAAACTAAATTCACTAATCGTCAAAAGCTATTTCTGTAGGTGGGAACGAGATGTGGGTCAAGTGGTGGAAGCAGCCGTTCGTGGGGCGGGCGGAGTCAACGCAGCTAGGGCGCGTCTTCATGCAGCTCTCCTTGCTCTCCATGATCCTCCGAGAGGACCACACCGGGGTCCATCGCTGCCGTACTGCGGCCCTGGTGTAAGACCAGGGGATGTTACCATGATGCCAAAGTCTACTGGCATGTCGTTGCTGGTAAGTAACATCCTATGTTAAACAGAAACTGCATAAAAAGAGTCGTAGTAACGTAAATCAATATTTATATAATGTCTAGGATTTTAAGGAGAAAGATGTACGCATTAAGTGCGTAAGTGTAACAAAAACTTTTCCGATAAGGGAGTGGCAGCGAGTTTCTTGCCAGTTTGTTCTACGCCCTTAAATTGGGAACTAGAAGCAAATTTTTTAACCATATTGACATTCATAAGGATAAAGGCTAGATTCGAAAAATATAAAAACGACATCGATAAACAATAGATAATAATAAACAACTTGCAACACCAAAGTCGATATTAGTGAATCAATATGATTCAAGGGGTCGTTATAATTTCGATCAAAACACCAAATCAAAGACTGATTAATGAAATAACACAAACGTCTAATTAACAATAATAAATTATAACATTAATCATTTGAATCTAGACAGTATCAGCATTGTTTCGCGTCCATTAATTGATGTTTAACGATAAAATATTAACGCTCTATCAACGCAGACTAAAATTATTACCAATATTTAACACCCATTAGTAGCTTATTGTATGTGACCTCCTTTTTATTCACAGTGGCATACATAGACTATATAAAACTTTGATTTAGCGTTATCTGTTGAAGTCTATTATTAAAAAGACAATTTGCTGCATTGTGTTGCAGCCGCCTGCCTTCCTGGAAGGATTTATATAAAAATTATTTTTACTCTATAGATAGGTTTCGATTAATGGAATCTTATGAACTAGCTTATAAACGCCTTTCAGTTTGAAGTCTACTCAAATGGTCTAACAAAAACATTATTTTATTAGTTTTGATTTGGATCGTAGAAAAAGTATAGACTAAATTCAATACGCAGCTTTACACTTCATCATTAACTTATGGACGATGATTCGTTCGGATGGTCGATGTTCGTATCGTTAGTTTCCACACTTACTCTAACTACTACTTTGCTAAATAAGATTTAGCCAGCTTCATAAACCAGCTTCTTACAATGTGCAACATGTGACATCACAGATAAAGCAACATTAGCTACTGCACGAAAGTAGACTATCGTGTCAAGTTATCAAAAACTAGAATAGGACTCGCAATGATTAAGCTAATTAATTAATGATAAGCACGTGACTCGCACACGCCAGAATAAAATACTACAGTCGTCTATAACTTGTTAGTAACTCAATTATTAAACATACAAATACTGTCTATAGTTTACGCGAGTAGTACACATTTAAATAAAACGCAAAGCATCCGAAACGTCGGGCCAAAGTTAAAAATCATTTTAAAATAAGTTTAACTAATATATCGCGTTTTAAACCGTTAAAGTGTTTTATTTAAATTAAACATATAGTTGAAAATTTTATTATCTTATATTTTGTAAAGCGAACTATGTAAGTACCTATTTTATATAGTTAAAATTCATGACGGCATTTGCTATTTACATCATGTGTTAACTTAAATTTATTTCAAATAATGGACCGAAGGAGGGTAGTTTTAACGTATTAATTTTAAAACTAAAATGTGGTTTTTCATGAAAACATATCAAAACTTATACATACACACATTATAAAATAGTATAACAGTAGTACCTTTTATACATAATGTAATTAAATTTAATACATCAAGTCAACTGGTTAAAATTTATTTAGTCCGCTATTACCTACAGTGAGCGGGATTGAGTCTTCACCTTCGAGGCTAAAGAACACGAATTTTAATGGGCGTTCTGCAGGGCTCAATTCTGCGTCCTTTACTATTGGCAATTTACACACCTGTCATATTTAAGAACATTATAAAGTGCAAAATGTATTTGTATCTAGATGACACTCAGTTATATTATTATCTTGATCAGTTTAATGCCATCGATGCAACAGATATTTTATATAGGGACTAAGAACACATTTACGTTTGGACACTAAACAATACTATGTCACTTAAGGCACCCAAGTCAAAGTTAATCATATATTTTTTTTTAATTAAGAATTCAGGATCTCCCCTTTCACTTGGAAAGAGACCTTTATATTACATGTATACTTTTTTTTATTTTTTATTATTATTATTTTTTTTTTTCTGTTAACGAGTATTATAATCTGTCAGTTCTGTCGTTCCGTTTTAACACTGGTTTGGCGATTTAGAGATTATCTATAAAACATGGAAATTTTAACACTTTGAATAGACGAAAACTATCTACATATAGATTTATAACTATAACTTAAGTAGCATCCTAGCTTCTCCGAAAATGGAAAAGCTAAGATAATAACCACCCAACATTCCCTCAACACATGGGTCACGTCTTCCACGACGTCACAATCTATACAATTAGGACTTGATGTTACCAAATACCCTTTGAAAGAGACCACTCATCGAAACAAACATGCCACATCGTTCTACAATCTTGTCTTACAGAAAGAAGTGCTTCATAATGTGCATTGTTTTAGATTGTATTTATTCAGATTGTATAGACCCACTATTTATTTTGTAGACTGTAGCGACGGCACCAGCGACCGCGAAACTGCCTTGCCGCGGGCCATTGCGACACGCCTCGCTACTTTATTGCAATGACAATATTAAATCAGCATTCAAAATCAAGTTTAATTTAGATTTTTATGAAAAAAGAAACGTCTTTTTCAATAATGAAGATGTTTCAGTTATTATGTTCTTACTTAAGATAGGGAGAGAGAATAATATAAAATGTACTAAAAAATATTGCTTATTTTTCATCGCAATAGCAACTATATACGAAAGTAAGTTACGGCGTCATATTTAAAGCAAGAATTTAATAATATTTTGTATTGTAAGTTAAGAGTTTATTGAAATTGAAATAAACAATCCTTGACATCCACTTTAGTCAAATTTATTGTACATCATTAATACAGTCGTCAATTTAAAACGTTTATTAATTTTTACATGCAATTACTTAATAGTTTGATTGATGTAAATCTCCATTGATGGTGTACTTTTTGCGTATTTACATTTACTTTCAAAGTTGATCTGATGAAATCCTATTGTTGCTACAAAATCTACATTTGGGATTGACCACTTCGATGTATTAACATTTCGTAAATTGACTAAGCTTTAAAATCATGTACATTAATGCAGGTATTTCAAAACAAATGACTTATAAATATGTACAGCTAATCGTGCAATATATTGTGAAATATAATAGCGAATGATTGCAGTAAATTGGTAAGACGATGGTACAAAGAAGCGAATGTATGACAAAATGTATGAAGGACGTAGAACGGATGCGATGTGACCACAACCGCGACGGTAAGACTTGGCTACCCAATTACTTTAAACAATAGCGGGATCGGTTTTTTAAATAAACCACTTTAACGGTTTAAAACGCGATGTATATTAGTTCAACTTATTTGAAAATAATGTTAAATACGGCCCGACGTTTCGGATGCTTTGCAATAGCCGTGGTTGCGGGAAGTCTCCCCACAACCACAGGCCGAGGTTAAAAATATTTTCAAATAAGCTTACTCACATTTAATTAAATGTGTTATTAAACAAAAACACATTAAAAAAATAAAAGCTTAAACATGTATCCAAATTCCAATCCAAGACCAAAATCCAGAACAAAATAATTGTGGGTCGAAATTAATATCAGAATGGTTTCAGTATACACGCAGAACGAGTGAGGCTTTGTCATTAATATGAATGTAATTAAGTAGCGGCCCTAGTGTGGAACCCTGTAGAGTGCCGTAACGATTTACATAAATCAATCACGCTTGAAATTGTTCGGATGGCTTTGTTTATGCCTGGCTGGATGCAGTCAATCAATCCTTCATGAAGGTAACGCACGAATCGGCGATCGGGGCGAGATAACATGTCTGTCTGTACACCGTAACATCTTTACTTTTTAGAGGTATATTCTGATTGAAAACAATACATTGTCTTTTTTTGTAATATAAATTGGATTCATATTGAAATTAAGTTAGCAATTATTGGTATACACTATGTGTGAAAAAAGTAAATTAATTTGAAAAGAAAACAACAAAGTTCCTTCCTTAGTTGGCCAGACAATGCAACTGTGGGCTACTACCCACAGTTGCGTTAAGATAAGTCTTGTAATCCCAAAACTTATTTTTCAAAATAAAAGCCTTAATTTTATATGGTCAATTATGTAATGAATGCACTAATCGCCCACAAACTTCAATAAACGACATATTAGTGCGCTTATCCTTTAAAATAACAATTTTAATATTAATTTTAATTGCTTAATCGTGGCCACATAAATTAATTTAGTGAAGTGAATGGAAATCCTTCCTTCCTACCAATAAAGTGAAACCGTAAATAACCGTTTTATATCGCTTCAAGTACATTATGATGATATTGCGATATTGCGTTATCTATAGTAATGCCGCAATATTAAAATTAAGGGCGCCGTCTGTTAATGAAATAAACTATACTATAACTATACATTTAAAAATAATTTTAACTAACTATATCGCGTTTTTAACCGTTAAAGTGTTTTATTTGAAAGAAATAAACTATGTTTCATTAATTGACGGATTGAAATAGGAGGTGGAAGTATATGTATAAGTAAAGTTCAGTTTTACAATTAAAGACAATATTTTTGCCCTGAATGATATTTATACAGAGGCAAGTATGTAGTTGAACTGTGCACTGCTAGACCGATACTATTGTTTTATAGGAATTTAGGCCCCTGATTTTATCTCAATACAATCTTTGAGCTGAGGCTCAAAGATTGTATTGAGATAAGTCATAACCTACTATCTTTTGAAAATCGAACTACTAAATGATAGACTACTCACAACTACCTTATTATTATGTTTAGTAAAAATACTGTCCAAACTTCTCAATGTAGGTAATGGTTAGTTACCATAGTAATAAGTGAATGTATACATATGTATGTAATATAATGTATTATTTAATAAACGACTAGAACCTAACCTAAAGAATAAGCATTGGTTTCTAGGTCTTAATTCCTGTCCTTAGGAAATACGAAATATCTTCATAGAAAACATGTACAA